AGCGCTGCCCCACACCTCGCTTCCGTATAGCATCATGTTGTTCACCGCCGAGGCTACAACTCATCTTTTACCCTCTCGTGGACCGCCTGTGTTCCACATCAGTCGATTTAACTTCTCCGCCATTCTACTGGCTTTCTCTATCGCTTTCTCTGCGTGCTGTATGAAGGTTAGGCTCCTGTCTATCTTCAATCCTAATATCTCTATTGACTTTTCTAGTGGTACTCTCGTATGGTCTACCATCAGGTTAACCTCCGGAAGTCTCCTTCTCCCGGCGATTAGGGCTGCCTTGGTTTTACTTCCTACTAATTTAAGGCCTCGTTCCTCCGTCCATCTTGCACCTTCGATATGACCCTCTGAACCTTTTGAGCGGCGCACTCTAACTTGCGGTCTCTAGTCACTACACTAACATCATCCGCGTAGCCACAAAGGTCCACCCCTGTCGGGACTCCCAGTCTTAACATCCCGTCGTACGCAATATTCCACAGGAGTGGCCCTAACACTGACCCTTGTGGCACTCCTCCGTTGGACACAAAAAGGTAACTCTTCCCAGACGATAATTTCCCTACGTTCTTCCTGCCATTGAGATAACTATACACCACTCTCCTCAAGTAGCCAGGTATACCCTTGTAGAGTAATAATATAAGGTTATTAACTTTATGATTGTGTAAAAGTCAGGATATCCGCCGATATGTAATGAAATTGGCTATTACAGCAATGTAGACAAGTAAGTAGCAAGGTTGGCAAACTCGCAGACATTAACTTGACAGGTCATCGGGTTTGACGACGATTGCTAAATAAAAGTGTAAAACTTGCATCGAACCAGTAAAGCTGGAAATAATAGATAATAATAAATAAATAAATAAATATATATTCATCCTGTAAGACAAACAAAGTGTATAGGACAAGTCAATTAAACACAAATAAGACAAACATTTGACATTTAACATTTAACTGATAAAATCTTCCACAGAATAAAATAAATTTGCCAACAGGAAGATTTTGAGTTGCCGTGTGAAGGTATACAGTTTCCGCGCGTTCTTGATTTTGGACGGGAGTTTATAGAACATTTTTGCCCCTATGGAAATAAACTCTCTTCCCCAAATGCCTTCATTTATTACTAAATAAGCCCAACCCCACATGGCGATCTTCCCAGTTCCTCCATGGTGACCTTCGTCGGGATCGAGTTGAAAGCATCTTGTACGTCTAGAGAGGCAATAATTGTCACCTCCCTAGTGTACAGGGAGCGTCTCAGGGCTTTTTGCGCTATGTCTTTAATTTTACTTAGTGCTCTCTTCCTTTCCTGAAACCATATTGTTCCTCGGATAGATTAGAGTATTTCTCTATTCTCTCGACCAGAACTCTTTCTAGCAGTTTCCTGAGATGGCTCATTAGAGATATGGGCCTCATTGACCCCAGGTTTTTTTTTGGAATAAGAACTACCGTCGCTTCCTTCCACATCTCTGGGTATTCTCCTGTGGATAGCACTTGATCAAATACTCCAGAGAACCAGTCTGGTTTCTACGAAAGCGTAGAACGGACGAGGTAGTTCAAATTATGTAATCCCGAGGTATAAGTCGGGACTATACTTAATCCCGAGATATAAGTCGGGATTATACTTAATCTCGAGAAATAAGTCGGGATTATACTTAATCCCGAAATATAAGTCGGGATTATACGAAATCTCGAGATGTGATTGAGGATTATACTTAATCCCGAGATATAAGTCGGGATTATACGTACCTAATCCCGAGATATAAGTTGGGATTATACTTAATGCCGAGAAATAAGTCGGGATTATACGTAATCTCGAGATGTAAGTGAGCATTATACTTAATCCCAAGATATAAGTCGGGATTATACGTAATCCCGAGAAATAAGTCGGGATTATACGAAATCTCGAGATGTGATTGAGGATTATACTTAATCCCGAGAAATAAGTCGGGATTATACGTAATCTCGAGATGTAAGTGAGCATTATACTTAATCCCAAGATATAAGTCGGGATTATACGTAATCCCGAGAAATAAGTCGGGATTATACGAAATCTCGAGATGTGATTGAGGATTATACTTAATCCCGAGAAATAAGTCGGGATTATACGTAATCTCGAGATGTAAGTGAGCATTATACTTAATCCCAAGATATAAGTCGGGATTATACTTAATCCCGAGATATAAGTCGGGATTATACGTAATCTCGAGATGTATAATCCCGACTTATATCTCGGGATTACATAATTTGAACTACCCGGTCCGTTCTACGCTTTCGTAGGTTCCTTCTACTAATCCAATCAATCTGCGTAGTTATTCCTGATGACAATGCATTCTTTCAATAATTTTTGACTATAAACATACTTAATTAAGCGGGTTATTTAACCGCGCGCTTCTTGCACAAACGTTTTAGCGTCGAGTTTTAAACAAGACGATTCGATTATGCTTTCTCCCAATCGTCACCACGCTCACTCGCTCGATGTCCATCGATTTAAAAGAGAACGAATTTGTGCCGCCATGGAGCTATTGCGCAGCCAAGGACCTATCGCATAGCTTAACAGTACCTACTTCAAAATGGTATGAAGGACATGCAGAAAGGTCCGAGGACTTCAATGCCCATCTTAAATGGGTGAGACGCATGATATATAAAGTCTTGTCACCTCTACATACAAGACCCACCCGAACAGTACCACAAATTCCTTAACGACAGCTACTTCACGACGTGCCGACCAGGCCAATTTTGTGCTGGCGTCGGATAATACACAGCACTCTTGGTAAGTGGGTGGTAGGGATGACTTTGGTGGAGTTCTATTTTCCACCAGTGAGCAGCATGCAGAACATGCCAAAACAAGGACGCAGCTGACATTACCAAGCTCACCGATTGGTTTGAGCAATTTTCAAAGAACAGTGACATCATAAATATCGCGACAGGAATCGTTGGAGATCACCTGCTACAATACTGTTGCATTAGATAAGCGAGCAAAGGCGAAAAGATCGAACTCTTTCCCTTTCAACAGTGAGCCATCGATCACCACATCCTACGTGGACTCATTCTTGCTATTCCGACGTATATCCAATCCATCAGCAAAAAAAGACAGACGATTTAAAGCTGTGCATGGAATGCGAATTAGCCCAGTTCCTATTAACCCTATTCAGTGAGAGTGGGATGAGGAAATCAACGCTGTACAAACTATTCAACACTACGACCAAGAATGTACGTGTCAAGGTATCGACAATCTGCGAGAGCCACATCCACTTTATTACAAAGAACTACCACGGAAGGAAATGTCTTTGACGACTGTTCCTCATCAACCTTACGCACGAAATCCGCAGTTGACATCCGAACAAGTTCAACAAAAGCAGGCCCATTAACATGCTTATTAAGCTTTAAGGTGAAGCTTGAGGACAGTGGATCAGGACTCTTCAAGCAGAAAGCGATGCGGACGTTCTGATCGTGGATACGACTGTGGAAATGTCGGAAACAACAGCTGTTGGCATTATAGGTGAAGAAATCGACCTCATAGTCCTCTTGATGGATAAAGCTGATGCACATAAGGACATTATTTCATGGGCTAAGGGATTTCTTTTTCTCGTCCCAAGAACTTCAGCAACTAAGGTTTCAGGGACGTGCTGAAAGACGATACCAAAGAATCTTGATTGGCGGCATCAGTATTAATGTCTGATACCACGACTTTAGGAGTAGAGGCACAGAAAAATGTAAAATTTATTTTTTAACAACTTCGCATTTAAGATTTCATAAACAACGGGGGAGAACGCATTTCCGATTTTAAGCGACTTTCGGTTTTGAGGGTGAAATAACGATTCCAGTTTTGGTGGCGGTTTTGATTTGCGTTCGATTCCATCGCTGTCTGCAGAAGTCCAGTTTTGTAATAAATCGGTTGAAGAATTGATGTCCTTCTGGTCGCTTAAGGGGCCATCAGTCCTACTTTTTTCCAATGGCCAGACCAGGGGCCAGACCGAGCCTCTATAAAGTACAAGGAAAAAAATTAAGGTTTGGGATATTTGAATTTATCGTTGTGGGGTGAAGTAGTGATGCCACTTCCGGTTTAAAGAAATGTGGCTCCAACCTTCTATCGTAGCGTAATTCGTATTTTCGATCGTGCGATTTGGGGAGGAGTTCCGTTTTTCCCAATGAATACACAGATCCTCTCGTCCACCTATAACACCTCGAAAGTTAGGGGAAAAGTAAGAAACAAGAAAAGTAAAAGATTGGTGTCTTTGAATTGTTGTTGGGGTGCCGATTCCGGCTTAAAAAATAAGGGTTGTCGGTTCTTAGTGTGCGGTCTGGGTCCACGTGCAGCATAATGCATTTCAAGTTACATAATTTTCCATAATATAACAAACATTCGATTTTTATCCTTGTCGTCCTTCCAACCGGACGATCTGGGTCTATCCTGTTTCCCAATGGCTAAACAGTTCCTAATATCGTCGGTCCGAAACGTACAAAGGAGAATATTAAACAAAAAGGAAAATTAAAGTGTGGTTAATGTTTGACACATAAGGGTGGCGTTCGGTTTCCGGTTCTACCACCGTCCGGCCTGGATCCAGGTGTACCATAATTCATTTCACGTTGCATGATGTTGCATATGCAACCAAAATAATCACTTTACACCCGATTGTCTGCATCCCAAAATTCGAATGTAACGAAATATTGTACGGAGTCCTCACTTACTAGGGTTTAATCAATATGTGTGTTTCAAAAGGGACTGTTCAAGTGCGGATTTTGTATGCCAGGTGCTAAACATCTCCAAGTGCGTGAAATTTATCGGCGTCGGACCACCCCCATCTAACGCACAAAGAAAATGTGTCGATCACTTCACGCACAATTCGCACTCCCCCAAATTAGATTAACGCGAGCGCCCTTTGAATATTTTCAAATTTACGCAGACTTCGCATAGTTGAGGCATGGGTGTGCGAGCAGCGGATCCAGGTAGACGTGGAATGGCATGCAGCAGACTTGCTCAGTCAACATACTCAGGTAAGACGAAGGTGACAAAGCACGTTGGGCCGGTAATTGGTGGGGAGGAGTGAGAAAGATCATTTCGGCGAACTTGTTAAGACTGAAATAGAAAATCTAAGAGGTTGAGGAGACGGTCAGCTTTCAGCTTCACTACCGAAGTGCTCGGCTTGTTTCGATCGGTCTTGCGTTGAGGCAGTTACATTCTAACTTAAGTTGGTTCTGTCCGTACTTACAAAGACGTGTGCGTGTTACAAATTCTTGCAGTTTTCTTGGATAAATGTGCCTTTGAAGTTCTGTTTGTGTCACAGTGTGATTTTAGTGTGCGAAAAATGTTTGTTTAATTTGGTTCTACAAAGATTTTTGAACTGGTGCGAATAAGAAACCGGTCTGCAGGTGAGGAAGTTTAGCTGGTTATTTTTTTATAACTGTTATCAATCGGTTATTTTAAAGTTCGTGAGTTCACCAAGCAAATTTACAGTGGAGGGTGGTTTCTTAGGTAACCAAGACAATATGGAAATGGGCCGGAACCATAAACCTTGCACCCAATTAACATACAAACAGTCATTTACACATCTTAATTAACAAAAACCGAAGATGAATGAAAAAGACGTTTCCCGTGAAAAGTTGATAATTCCTTAACGGTTCGCGTCAACTTTGGACGTCCTCTTATTTAAATTACCGTTCAATTTACGGTTTCCATTATAAATTTTACAAAGAAAAATGACCCTCTTAAATTCCGAACACATTTTCTTGCAAAACGTGTCCAGTTTTATCTTCACATGCTCGCCGATACCAACTATCTGCACCGGTCACGTTTTGAAAACGCCCAAAATTGAGATTACCCAGTATTCTATAATGGCAAACTGTGAAAGTTTAAAAAACTTCCGTATTTTTATTAGTGTTATTATTCATTTTTTCATGTTTCGAGAAATTAGTTTCGCAAACAATGAACCGTTTCCTACATCGACGCGTGATTTTTTATCACAACTTCGTGTTTATAAATAAAAGAGAGAAAAAAAGATGGAAATAAGTTACGGATTATGCAAATTCATTTTTTTGTATCCGTTCACCTGGGCTCGCTTGCCATAACAAGCAATTTAAAGTACAGCACCGTACATAAACGAAACTTGAATTTGTAACAGAAATTGATCTGGTTGCATGAATTACTATTATTATTGGCGGGATTAATAAATTGCGGTGTCCCATTGTGTTTGTAATCGAGTCGTGGGCGTGTTTTCGCGTTACCGCAATTGCAATTTCGATTTTGGTGTACCGAATTTGTTGTTGCTACAACCGTTTTTCTAAAAAATACCAAAGCTAAATTAGTTTCTTCAAAAGGCTGATCGTTTTTTACCTTGTTCTCGTAACAGGGATAGGCTTTTACTGTTTATTTATTTTAAATAATAAGATACGAGTTCCGTGTTTATTGTAGTTTCAGGTTTTAGTCTCGCCTCACGTTTTTAATTCACAAATTATTCATCAAGCCGGATAATTATTACAGCTCTAAATTGATTTTTGCATTGCATTTTGAAAACATTTTCTAAGCATCACCCAGGTACCTGTAGTCCAATTTTTAGGTACTTTGGCAGAGAAATTTGTCCAAAAACCCACCAATTTCTGCCACACTCATTTTTAAATTGTGGCTTCATATTCGACTTTTCGCTTTGCACCTTCTATAGAATAGACATATTATTTATTCATCGAGATATATTCGTAGCAGACTAGTCTAAAAAAGCTTTTGCATAATATTACGTTAATTTTAACTTTAAACTATTTATTATGTAAACTATATGCAGAATCCATAAAATTAAAACTAAAAGAAACACTCAAATTTGGATCGTTTATCAGTTAGATGAACGCATTCCACGCCACTTTCCTTTTACAGAAATTTTTGATTTAGGAATGCTTCTTTTTATAAGGGATTTCCAGATTTCAATCTATTAATGGTGATAAGTCTTAAGTTTTGTAATAGTCCCATTCTCGTTTTGTTGCATACTCTCTGGTCATGTGGTTTTAGTTGATTTCATTGTGGTCTGTGAATCAATTGCCCTGCTATTCCAAACCAGAAGGACAACGCTAGTTATACATACCTACTCCATAGTTGTTTCTTCTAGTTTCACATTTTTGACTCACTTCCACACTGTGCAATATTTAATTGTAAGTGAGAGCATTTTGGGAATTTGTGTAGCTGTCTTTTTTCAAAAGGACCTTAAAAATAATCTCCGTTCTTTCAGCAGTTATCTAGCATCATTTATATATATGTAGATCGATAAAAAATTATGTACAGTGAGATGTATCAAACGGGGACCATTTGAAATTAAAACGAATCACCAGAAGATTATTTCCGAATCTTCCTATAAAATCTAGAAATCGTGTTAAGAGCGTTTATTAAAATCCTCTTTTGAAACCTTAGAAGCCTTTAGGTACGAGTTTAGGTATCAGTATAGGTGCCTTGGCAGTATGTTTTTAAAAGCCTGCTTATAAGCGGCTTTCCACACCAGCCAAACCGAATTCGAATTTGTCTGGAAAATCATCTAGCAGTCGTCCAAAAAAATTGTACTAGGGAACTACCCCGGGAACTACTTAGAAACTTGCTTTTCAATTTCAGAAACCTAAAAAGTGCCGGTGGAAAATCTTTTGAAAATATCCTTAGAAGTGTTTTTTATGAATGTTCCATTGAACTCTATTTATGATTCTTAATAGAATGTGTTTAAGGACCTCCGAACATCTCAGCAAAAAGTCTTGAAGTCTATCTACGCAATTTTACTAGGCATAATCCTCGGAATAATCCTTGTGAAATTCGACAAACCTTCCGAAAATCCGAGAAAGAATCTTAAAATAGTGCCCGTTAACTGAACACCCCTCGGAGCACTCCCGCCCCCACCACCGAATTTTGCAAATGAAGTTTCTTCTGATTCCTTACTTCCTTGTTTTGGATGTTTCCATTTCTTCAGCTTATTAGTAAAGTAAATATACAGGCTGATTCAAATTCGAGGGCCACCATGGCGATGGGAACTGTACGAGATAGTAGGTAGTTTAAATTTGGCAAAGTTGCCTATTTTGATGCTTAACAAAATGCAGTTTTGAAACTACTTTTGGAGATATAAAAAAAAACAAATTTTGCAAAATCGTTTTTATTTTTTACTGAAGTTATTTAAAAAGATATTTCGAAATAAAAGACACATAATTATGGCCACTTTCTTCCCTTTACAAGATGCTAGTTTTAAAGTTTGACGTTTCGTCTCCAGTCAACCATCATCAACTTTGTTTTTTCTTATGGAAGTCCTTTTTAATTTTTATGTCATTTGGTAGAGAATTTTTTTCTGATTTCAAAAACGTCAACACTCTTATCTTTTAATAAGAAATAGCGCTATTAATTCGTAAAAACTCAAGAAACTACGTACGTACACTACTCAAGACAAAGTTTTCTAGGCAAAAAATTAATTAAATAACTTCAGTAAAAAAATAGCACGTCCTCGCCTGTGACAAAGTTGTTGTCGCACAGAGATTTTGACCAGATTTTGGCAACACTAGATTTTACACTTTCTTAGCAGGGATCACACAAATTAATTGATATGAATTCAGTCAGTCATTTAAATTCTCGAATTAATTCAAAATACTAATAATCGAGCTACCAATGAGAACACCAATGGGAATGGGGCATTATCTACTCCAAATTCAAATGTCAGATGGCAGTATGGCAACCCAAAGCGATTAGCAATAAACATCTGACAATCGTGCAGCGTCTAAAGCACAATAAACCATCATGGGGTCGAGGACTCAAAAAAAGTGTACATATATCGAAAAAGTATTTTTTCAGTTTTTGGTGATTTGCTTGAAATTTTTATATCGGAACATTTATTTATTTTTTAATTATTATTCGAGTTATTAATACATTTAGTCTTCACGAAAATTTTGCTACCCCGCGCAGCCCTGTACGATGAAAAAATAGAAAAATAGATTTTTATCCCCCTGAAAAGGAGATGTTTCTTTCGAAATACGTGAATGTCTCGGAAACAGCCCAACTTTGGAGGCCCAAAAAATTGTATTCTTATTTGTCTTTCTCATAAGAAAAGCTAAGTCCCTCCAAATTTCAGACCCCCAACTTTTTTTCGCAACAATAAAAATAGAACATGAAAAAAGGTTTTGTTTTGCTGGTTTTTCTCGGAAAATTTTCTGTTATGTGAAAAAATGTAGAAACAAAAGTTTGTCGCAACTTGAAAAATATCACATTCCTCCCGTTTCAACCTTCGGGATTTCACCCGCAGAAAAGTTCAGTTGTTGTAATAATTTTTCCCATTTCGAATCATTTTACCTGTTTAGCTGTAATGTCGTGCAAATGCACTATGAGACAATGGGCCGTATGAATAAAAGTAAGCAAATGCTTATACTTGCAAAATTCAAAGTAAATACTCGTAACTGCCCCTTCATACTGGACTGTTTAGCATGGTTTAACAGCGCTGTACTGCGTCCTGTCCTTCTGCTTAGAAGCGCTGCTAAGTCGCCCAGTGCGAAGGAGCACTTACGAGTATTTACTTTGAATTTTGTAAGTATAAGCATTTGCTTACTTTTATTCATACGGGCCAATGTTCCTGAAGAGGCAAATACATTTAATAAAGATATTAGTGAATCAGGATCCTCCGAAGATCAAGAGAAATGCAGTTAGCTGGAATAAAAAGAAAAATAGCGAATTAACTGATTTTCTCTCGAACTCGACTTTTTTAAAATAAAATTCGCGACTTATTCCCACCTTGCTTCATAACGTGCGAAAGAATGCGCTAATGTTCGCGTTTTATCCGTCCGTCCGTTCGCGGTACAGAACAATATCCCCCCGGACGTAATGAGTTTACGGAAAGTATCAAAAATTAATACGGTACAAATGTAACTAGCAAAACACCAAAGGCAAAAGATCGATGATTTAAAAAGCTCAACAATTTTGGTACTTACGAATGCAACATGCAAAATTTTAATAAAATAAATATTTAATAAATTTTATTATTTAGTTTTTTTATTTTTATTTTTTGATTTAAATAAAAAGCAAAAATATCCCCTCTAAACAACGGCTTTACACATTTATAAGGGCCTTCAAAGTTTGTGGTCTTAAAGGGGGCCATCCCCATGAATTCCCGAGATGCTATTTGTGGAAGTAAATCGTGCATAAATTTTACATACAACAATCAATTGGTATCAGAATTTGAATACACATGCCTCTAGTGGTGCCAAATAAAACCTTTGAAAATCAAATCAATTAAAAATTAATTCGAGTATTAATTGGAAGTATTAAGACTAACAATTCTTTAGAACATTGTACTACCTTTGGCCGTTAAGAATTATTAAGTTCCAAAACCCGCCCAGAATGAAATTTTTTTTGTAAATTATATTAGTGACCATTA